GCCAAAACTTTTCTGATTAAAAACTTTATTTAATTTAATAGATTCACCCAATGAATTTCATTTTACCTGACACATATTCAAAGTGCATAATCTGTTATAGAAGGGATGAGTCATTTAGCCTCAGTCCGCATACCATATTACAGAACGCAGGAGTAAGACAGACGATATCCAAAGCGAACGTATATATTCTTTTTCGTTCCCTTCTCATATTCACTAATCACATGGAGTATCATCATGACTCATCATTCTGAGGTATAGAAGATATATGGGTGTAATATATATATATAGTCAGTTGAGTAGATTAGTGCGTACAATTCATATCTGTTCTTGTGATTAAAATAAAAGGATGCGCAAGGTCAAAGTAGAGATATAGCCACGAAGAAGTCGATCAAAGGACGGAAAAACATCACGCCTACATTTCTTCTTCTCTTTTCTATTATCAAATATAAATGTTCCTAATTATGACTGGGAAATTTTCTTTTTCAAATTCTGCGATTTTTCAAGTAATAAGCGAGAACGTTAATTCCAAGATAGAGGAGGCAATTCTCTAGTTAACTGTGTAAAAATTCAAAATTAATTTAGCTCGACTCAATTATAATGCCAAAAAGAAGATATGTGCTTCATTCCTTTGAAAAAAAATGAAACAAACCTTTCAGGATGTTTCGCAATAAAAGTATCTTGACAGTCTCGATGGTTCAAAGAGTCTATACGATGCCGCGTTGCTTTGGTAATGACACTTAACATATTTTTTCGTATTTTGAACTAAAGTATGCTCATCACAAAAAGCACACATTTTGACTTGAGGGCTGATAATCTCAAAAGGCACTTTCAAACACAAAAGCGTTGTTCTGAGAAAGTCTTATACAAGTATGGCCAGAGTATAAAACAAATTTACAGTTCAAAAGCCATCCTCAGTACTACAGAAAGTGGAGTTTTGAGCTTTAGCAGTGTAGAAACATGCGATACATTGGAATTAGCTATCCCACTTAATACGTCTAAAAGACTAGGATTGTCCTCAGATAGTTTTTCTTTAACATTTTCTCTAGTATAATTATTTCAAAAGAAAACTGGAAACAACTTTACAAATCTCATCATCCTCTAATTCAGATAGAGGTAGTTTGTCTGCCCACTTCATATCCTCTTCCATCTGTTTCTTTTGCTCATCGGTCAAATGTGTTTCGGGCGGTCCAAGTGCCTGTATTGGAGCAAATTTCAAATATTGTAATGATTGTGAAATTATATGTGAGTTGTAGAGAGATGAGTCATATATAATTTCACAATCATTACGGCAAGAAGAGAAAGAATTTCGCAATAACCACAGCTCATATAAATAGTTGCAACTATGCAGACGAAGAGAGTACGCTTTCAAATGGCTGCTGGAACTACAACACCCGAATTTAAACTGGTCCTGGTTGGTGATGGTGGCGTCGGTAAAACAACGTTTGTCAAACGACATTTGACAGGAGAATTTGTGAAGAAATACATGGCCACGGTTGGTGCTGAAGTTCATCCGATTCCGTTTATGACAAATCGCGGTCCGATCATCTTCAATGTTTGGGATACGGCTGCACAAGAAAAATTTGGCGGGTTGCGCGATGGGTACTACATTGGTGGTCAATGTGCAATAATTATGTTCGATGTGACATCGCGAATCTCGTACAAAAATGTACCCAACTGGCATAAGGATTTGGTTCGAGTGTGTGAAGGTGTACCGATGGTTTTGTGTGGAAACAAGGTCGATGTCAAGGATCGAAAAATGAAGGCAAAAGCGATTGTGTTTCATCGCCACAACAACATGCAATATTATGATTTGAGTGCAAGAAGCAATTACAATTTTGAAAAACCGTTTCTCTGGTTGGTGCGAAAATTGTCCTGTGATCCATCTGTGGAATTTGCTCCAATGCAGGCACTGAGACCGCCCGAAATACATTTGACCGATGAGCAAAAGAAACAGATGGAAAAGGATATGAAGTGGGCGGACACACTACCTCTATCGGAATTAGGGGATGATGAGGATTTGTAAAGTTGTTTCCGGTTTTCTTTTGAAATAATTATACTAGAGAAAATGTTAAAGAAAAACTATCTGAGGACAATCCTAGTCTTTTAGACGTATTAAGTGGGATAGCTAATTCCAATGTATCGCATGTTTCTACACTGAAACTCCACTTCAACTTCTAAAGCTCAAAACTCCACTTTCTGTAGTACCGAGAATAGCTTTCGAACCCTAAATATTTTTTATTCTCTGACCGTAGGCCGAAAATAGTAGTTCTTACTGGAAATCTTTCTCGTTTCAGAACACTAACTACGTAGTGCAGTTGCGAGATATTCTAAAAGCTTTTTATTCTTATGATTTTGTTGGTACAACAAATAACAAATAATCTTTATGTGAAAATAATATCTGCCTAGTCTTTCGACAATTGTCTGCATGAGCCTATTTTTGAAAACCTCGTTTATAGCTTATTTTGAAGCCTAGAAAATTCTCTGTGTTACTATGTATGAGCTTTGCTCATGGTATTTGACATCGGACGAAACATTTGCGGAAAAAGTAAATGGCTTTTGTTGAACTGGTGGCTAAAAATGAAAAGGAATTTTTTTTCAAAGACATCACAAGGAACTTATGAAGTGGGAAGTGTTGGAAAGTGAGAAGGGAAGCATTTCCGATCATTTTCATTTAAAATCATATTGGGCCATTTCTAGCAGAAACCGTTTCCCGTTTTTTGCGCGAAAAACGCGTGTAATAGAGGGATAGCAGGGATTTTTCGTGTGTCGGAGTTCGCCTACGCTTCGTTCGCAGCAGATAGTATATGGATCATATGTGTTTTGATCGAGTTGTGCTAAGAAGGAAAGAAATTGATAATCCAGGTGCCGTTCGCCTGTGTTTTTCCGTTTTGTTATATGTCTCATTTTTCTCGTTTTAACATTTTGAAAAAAAGAAATACTGTGAGGACTGATAAAATTCAGTTGCATGAAACAGGGTAATCGATCTCAGATGTGTGAAACTCGAATTCATTGCAACAAAAACTGGGATATGGTCCAAAAATATTGAAAGGCTTATTTAAAACAGTCAGATCTATCGGATAAAGATAAGAAATCAACGATGGTGCTATTGAGCACCTTAAAATAGCGACATACGATAGCGTCATCAGTAACGTTTCTCAATAAGCACTAATTGTCCGAAAACTTTGATTATATACGTTTGAACCACACATATAGAATATAAATTCGTAAGCGAAAAGAAAAGAATAAAATGAGTGAGTGTCGTTATACTTTCTCACTGAAATCGTACGAGCAAATCAGAAACGAGGATAATTCTGACATCTGTGCGAATTTGATTGAATGCTGAAGTTTTCCAGTCGTTCGGAGCGAATCAAATATCGCCCGTAAATATATTTTGCGTTTTGGAGTAGGCCATTTTTCGGAGTTGTTATTTGAAGCCAAAAGGAAACAACAAAATAAGTTGCTGAACATACGTTGTTAGAAGTCACCTGCCAATAGTACCTGCGAAAAATGGCCGCCACTAATAAAATTTTGTTCATTCTCTCACTGCTCGTTGAATAAGATTTCATGCAATGTCTTTAAAGTTCAATAGATGTCGCACGATTCTGAACATGGTCTTCGAGCGCAGATATTATGCATAGTAAAAAGCATTTTGTTAATTTATATTTGATGTAATATCTTCGGATGAAGACAAGTATTCAGATTAGATGTTAGATGATTTAATGTATCTTATTATTAATGCGCATCTTATCGCATGAAAGCTTGAGAATGGAATACATTTTTACTCTAGTCATTGTGAATGTTTTCCCAACACTGTTTAAATAGTATCGCTCAAATAAGGTGCCGGTAATGCGAAATACGAGTAAAAAGCTTTTTTTCGCCTTTTTTTACACCATTTGATAGAGCGTGAGCTGCTGATCACGAAAATCTACCTTTTAGCCATAGCAAGCATACTCGAGAGATGTCGTTTTTCGGGAAAAACATATCTTTTTCGAAATGTGCAAAATTTTGTACTTTATGTTTTTTTCCAGCTTCTGAAATTAATTTTTTCAGATTCAGCATCAAAAACTGAGTACCGAGACGTTGCTAAAATGACCCTAGACCCAAAACCCTACTGGTGGTGGCGCTTTGAATCGCGTCGAATGCACCACGTATAGGTCGATTTTGTAAACCTATCTAGTTTTTCTACGTAAGTGATAAAAGCAAATATTTTATCTCATTCGACTCATCATACCGCCAGTTACAAAGTTACGTATCCTTTTTTTTTCTTTTCTTGCCTGTTTTGAGAAAACGCCTTTTTACTGGTATCATAGTCATTTTAGGCGGTGTTCAAGGCTTTTCGAATTCAAATAAGACTTTTAGTCATAGACTAAATACAGATTCGGTATCAGCACAAAAAACTGAGTCCAAAGAAGTGTATTTCAAGTCAATTTGACAACTTTCATTTTTTGACGTGTATACAACAATTGCAGCTCTACGACGATACCTGAAAAAATGAGCAAAAATGAACGATTTAACACTAGCCACAAGGGATGTAAAAGGTACCAAAATATTCCGATGAAAAAGCACTATAGAATGCCAGGAGAAGTCTTATTTTGCTCAGAGTTTTTCGCTCTGTCAGGATATATAGTTTTCAAAATTTTCTACTTTTTTTTATCATTTTCCGTATGACTTATTTATATTCACTAGAACCGTCATTAAGCGAGCTTTCAAAGTACGGATCGTCTTTTGTTTTCTTTTGCTTTATCACTAAGAGAATACGTTTTTTCTAATTCAGGAGCGAAAAATCGCAATTCTACCTGCAATTCTCTATTTTCTCAATTAGAACTCACTTACTATGCAATAAAAAATATCATATTCGGCGTCAGCACCGAAAACGTGTCTATCAGGATATATAGTTTGCAAAATTTTCTCACTAAAAACTAAGGACTTGGTCTTTCAGATTTTCGAGAAACTCTGTTATCAAATTTTCTCATGAAAGGCCGATATGCACCTAATCTGATCGAAAAATCTTCGGGCTATCTAAAACATTATTCAGATTGGTTCCAGCTTTTACTAAAAGATCAAAAACAAGAGAGTTCTTGTGATTATGACACACTGTACTCCTTAGATAACACTCAAAAGCTTCTTTTCCATATCTTTAATGGCTGGCCCGACCTGTCTGGATATAGTGACCAGCTCACTTTGCAGAGAATTTCAAGGGCTGCCCAGTGGTATGTTTTCGAACAATACATAATTTTCATTATGGCAGAAAAGCGACTAACGGAGTGTTGAAAGCCCTAAGATACGTCAAAATCATAATATCGGCCAAGTATTTCAACTGTGGACCCATGTGGGCATATTTCTGAAAGACTTAAATATAGCTCATTTTGAAGCTCCTGAAATTCTGTATTGAATGGTATATTTATCGTAGTGGCTAGTTGAGAAACGTTGATCATAAGATCCTCACCGTTAAATAAGCCGCCCACTTTTCGCGCCTTTCCAAACAGTATTTCTATATAGACGACGTTTGAGCTCTGTCGAGAATTCCGAAGATCAAAGTCGTATATCTCAACCAATGTACAGCCAATTTCTTGTGTTAGCAAAAAACGATTTCCGAGTTAGAATGATAGCAACTATTTTAAGTCATATTTAACGCATTCCCTACAGAAAAAGAGACAATTTAAAACATTTAGTTAGATTTGTCATCTAAATAATGGAACGACAGTATTGTCAAGTTCAAACCCTAACTGAAGGATAAAAGATGATCTTTTAAAGATCAATCAATTACGGAAATCAGATAACAGATTTTATGAGTCAATGTCGAGTTTCTAAAAATATAGCAAAAAACTCAGATACGGCTGGACTCATTGGACTTTCATTTTGTCTCCGAAATCAAAAAAGAGATTCCATTTTCAAAATCCGTAAGCTCCCTAATAAACTCGAAAAATTTCTAGGAAACCTTGTTGATTGAGACAGCTAAAGATTCTAAGTAATACCGCGAAAATGTTTTGGATTTTAATCTAAGAAAACAGCAATCGGCACACTGCCGATGAACTCGTTAGCTTGTAGGACATTACATAGAGATCTTCCAAAGTTTTTGTCAACCAAAGAACACTGGCGATTTTTAGACTACTGATGCATGTCATTCTTTATTTAGTTAAAGTGTATATAATAAGACTTTTAACTTTTCATTTTTTTCATCTAATTAAGGAGAATACACAGAAATGCCATTATCCGATAGTGAATTACAAAAATATGTTGGACAATATATAAATTACGTCCGAAATGAATTAGAAAGCTTAGGTATAAAACTGTCAGCCTATCTGTCTCTTATATAGATATGTTCTTTTTTCTCTAGGTTACACCGTTCATGCTGTTCGTACAGGTCCTTTTGCTACCGGTTTCGTACCAGGTTCAATTCCAGGCGAATCTAAAGGCATACGTGCAATTGTGACATACAATGGTATTGATGACCGAGTTACACGTATTCAACAACGATTATATTAAATTAAAATTTTAAAACTAATTATTTTATATACTGTGTCATCAGACAGACAAATAAAAGAAACTTGTCTCAGTCAATTAATTCATTTAATATATATAGTTACAAATTATAAGTTATTGTAATTAGTTTCAAAAAATAAATATTTTACTTTATCATCCTTTGTGAAAAATAGAGAATGCAGATGTATGTTGAATAGTGTTTGCGCAGTAACAGAAAAAACTGTATTATTCGAAAAACATCTCAACAAAACAAAGAGATCCACGCTATACATTAATTAACCCTTTGGCGCCGGGGCACGCATATATGCGTGTTGAACAACAATAAAATTAAACTAAAATTCACTATAGTTGAAACAATAAAATTTGTTCGAGATATTTTTTGAAAGGAAAAAAACATCTTATTTTTTTCAAAAATACCCCGGCGCCAAAAGGTTAACTAAAGTGGCCATTTTTTCATGTGTTATAGTTTTTAACAGGTAATGTAAACATTCTCGTACGTATTTGGCAAGCATAGACAAACATATTCATCAGGTCGCCAGCCTTGAAAAATACGTTTGGAAAACGACTTTATCGGAATTGTCGGTGATGGAAAAAAGGTGAACAGATTAAAGCGTAGTACCTGTTAATAGTCTTCAAAAATGATTTATATTCTCTTTTTTAATATTTCTTTTGTCTTAAAATCAATCGCGTTGTAAGTACATAGCGCATAACCCATGTATGTACTGTGAAAGTTAGATACTCTAGTGTCGCAGAGCTATAAAAGATATGAAAAATTCATAATTTTAATTAAATTCTCTAATGCTCTTCGTACTGAAAGCAAGCCCAAGGTGCTAGAATGCTCTAATCGGGTGGCAAATGCGTATCTAATGAGATCAGGAAGTACATAAATCGAGCTCTCAGCGATATCATCTAGTTGCATTCAACGTCCAAATCGCTTTCCAGCCATTTTACATGGTCGTTTCTATTTACCCCACT